GCAAACTTGTAGACAGACATATATTAAATGCATTAATCTTTCTATAAGGTTATTCACAATGTATAAGGTTACTCCTCTGAAAAGACTGCTTCAGATTGCTTTCCGGTAATGCTAATACCCATTAAAAAGATGAATATATATGTGTGTAAGTCAATCATAAGGTATTAAAGAGGTGTAGCAACTTAAGCTTCTTTTCTTCTTGGCAGGTCACTTTGAGAGATGTCCTAGTTCAATTAAAATATTTTTTCCATTTCCTAGGAGTAGATTCAGATATGCTTTGTCTGTTCTCTATCTTATCTTCACTGTCAGGATTTAAAACAAACCTGAGTGAGGTATAAGGATAGCCCAGCTGCTTCAGAGCCTGAACAGGTTCAAATGTAAGGGTGCATATATGTGTGTATGTCTGCATGTTCCTCACATAAATGTCCTGATTGAATACTTGTGTGATGTAAAGATACATTTTTTTAAGAGTCTGTACACTTTTGTAGAATTTAAACTGACATAAACTGCATTTTCTGTTCTTCAAATACCCATTCTTTCATCTCTTGTTTCTAAATGCTGCAGTAGTAGGAAACAATCTAAAGAAGAAAGGCATACAAAAGTGCATACAATGTGGCAGTTTCTTTCAGATTTGATTGGTTCTATGAATTTAGTTAAGAAAAATTATCATGTAGGCTATTGTCATATGATATCTGAATGACTAAAAATATTGTATATGTTAAAAAAGAAATGCAGAATTTTAGAATAGTACTGTACAACTCAAGTATTTATATAACAGTCTCAGAAACACAAAATTGCCTAATTGGCTGGCTAATTAGTTCTGCTGTAGATGGTCTGTATTCAGCATTACTTTGTGTCCAACATTGATTTTGATGCAAAACTGCTCCTGGAAAAAAAAAATCTTAATTCTTGGATAGTTTGGTGAAAAATATTACAATTAGAGGTATAAAATGAGCTCTGTGACTGAAATGTGGATGAAGGGAAAGGAGATAGTTTCATATTGAAGTTATGCCATAAGATCTCACTCCTCCTTTCATCTTGCAGAAGGCTTGACAACATTGTTTCTCCTCAGATTATTATTACTAATAGTAAATTTTTTCCATTTTTAGTTGTGTTTGCATTTACGTATGGTGTATTACTTGTAAAACTGAAAAATATTTAGATTCAGATATAGTAATGCTGGAAAATTGTATTTCAGGCCAGAATGCAAATCAGTTTACTAACAAAAATTAATATGTAAATCTGAGATATATTAATTATATACCAGTATCTGACTGTCAAATGATTGTTCTTTAAAAATCCTGTTCTCTTAGCTGGGTAATATCATGAAGCATGTGGGTTTGCTTTGCTGAATCCTGGGTTTTCTTTTTCACATTCACAGTCTTATAGTAAAATACAAAAATAATTTCTCATATTTCCCTGACCATTTGCAATATCAGGTAGCAGGAAAGGTCAGCATATTTTGCAAACTATATTTGATTTACCATACCATTACTCTGTTTCTGTATAGTTAATTAGGTGATTTTAGTATAGCTTTTGACACAAAAAATAAATCATTTCTCCATTGGTCCAACAACAGTTGTGTGTATAAACAAGTTGGGCTAGATGCCCCTACTTGAAATGGCTGAATGAAGTCTGCTAAAATCAATTGTCTTACAAATGTAGCCAAAAATCTCACAATTAAGGACTCTTTGCTCTCCTCAGCCAGGAAACTTCTAATGGTTGTTCCTCAGGATTCAGGGATGATGTCTGGTAATTCCAGCAGCTCTTAGGAGACAGTACTTACATCCCTATTCACTGCAAGTTCTTATTACTTTAAATTCTTCCCATTGCTTTTAATTTATTTATACCAGTCAATGTGGTACTGTCTTAACAAGTACAAGATTCAGACACTTGAAAAACAGAAAACTCAGTGTAGGTTCTGGGTGGTGGTTTTTGTTTGTTTTTGGGGTTTTTTCCTCTCTTATCTTTTTTTTTTCCCCTGAAGCAGAGGTTTGTTGTCCAAATGCACAGCCGGCATGGGCTGGTTTCAGATTTTCTTAAAGTGGGGAGTTATGACTGAGAAGAGATCCCTGGTGCTGGGGAATCTAAGGACTCTACTTTGGATTCAAAAGAACAGGTGGACAGTTTGAGCTGAAGGAAACCGTAGCAGCTCCCCTACTTTTGAGCTTATCTGTGTGTAGTTACTTTTCTGGTTTTCAGTTTCCATCAATAAAAGTAGCTCTTTAGCAATTTTTTTAGTGAAATTGACCTGATGTGTGTCTCTGTTGTGCTGTGCCTGTCAAAATTAGCTGGGTGTATTACTTTTTTACCTCTCTGTTCATTAAGTCAGTTGATTCATTTTGGAGTCAGAAAATGTTCAGAGAGGGGAAAATTTTGATCAAACCAACCTTGCATGGAAACAACTGCCTGTTTGCCATCTGCAGCGGGCATTGATCCCTAGCTTGTTTGTGCCTTGCGTTTGCTCTGCGTGAGTAAGCACATTAGCCTTTTCATTTCATTCATTAGACAGTTAGTCCTTGATTAGTGTTTCCTAGTTTCTGTCAAAAATGCTTCTACTCCTTTATTCATTTTGTCTTGAGTCTGTCTTATGCTTCAGTGTGTAGAAAATGAACAGTTAACTACAATAGTCCTTTCATTTCTTTTTCATATGGAACTAGCTAACAAATATACTTTTCTAATGCTGGCGCATCTAATGCGGGATAAAGTATGAATGATGGGTCTTTCTAAAGTTAACAGAGTTATTATTTTAGTTCAGCTAGCAGCCATTGTTTAGAAGTGTGCTATCTCAGGGTTTACTGTCAGCTTTATTTCATCCGTCTCCAAGAACTGTGGGATCACCTGGATACTTGTGGATATTTGCCATATAAAATTGCACATAAAAATACATTTAAATTAAAAATGTGTGCCGTTTGAGAATACAGCACTGAAAGTTTCAGATGACATTTTGGATGACAGGACAGAACAATAAGGCATTTGTTGACTAACACCATTCCCTTGGGAATTCTGCTGTCATTTCCTTGCAGAATAGTGAAATGATAAATGGCAAATCCATTCTTAAATATAATAGAAAAATACATGAATAATTATGTGATGTGCATAAAGCACCAAACTGTGTACATCTTTAGAAAATACATAACAAGTTCATTAAAAAAATTGAGTACCTTGATTGAATCAATACATTTAATGTTGCTGCTAACAGATTTAATTTGATCAGTGATCAGATGTTTTGCCTAAAAATTCTATACTGTGTTACTCCCTTAAGTAGATAGAGTTTGTAAAATTTTATGAATTATGCATTGCTTTTTATTGATAATTTTAAGTTTATTTATATGTTGTCAATCTATCTGAACAATTTTACCTTTGAATTTAATGGTATTAAAGTTCAACATGTATCTTTTCAAAGCACCCGTAAGTTAGTAAACCAAACTTTGAAGGTTGGACCAGTCAGTTCTCTGGTGTGTGCGCTGCTTAAGATTCTAGTAAATACAAAACTTTTTAAAACATAAAATGTTGAAGCCATGGTTTATATTAGTGGGAACCTTTATATCTGCATTAAATGCTTGCTTATTTGTGAATTAGAGTAACATTGCTTTGTTTAAATAAAAATTATTTTGAAGAAAAGTTTTAGTCATGTTTGGAATCATTAATAAATTATTTAAGTATTTAATTTGGAGGGCTTTTCCTCCAAGTTCTAATTCTCATTGTTGGAAAAGAATTTAAAATGTTGCTAGATGTAGGGTTATACTGAATTTAATATTTCTCTCAAATTTTTAGTCTTTATAATTCCATAGACTTTTAAGTTGCTAAACAGTAGGTGGGGAAGTTCATATATGTATGATAGTCGGCAGTTGTTTGTAGTGACAGTTTTATTTGTAGTTTTTATCAAATGCTATTTGCATGGAAACTGGAATTCATTGAAATCTCTTACTAACTGGACTAATTCTTATATTTATATTCATATACATCCAGAATTTTAAGACATAACTACAAAGACATGATCCAGATGGATTTGTCTGTGTTTGCTATCTGCTGCAAGACTCAAGAGTTGGTAGATTTCATTTCACAATTCATTTAATACATTAATTAAATACATAAATTAAAGATTAATTCCCAGTTTGTAAAGTTTTAGCAATCAGTATGAGAAATAAAAATTGCATGATCTGGATTCAGGAAAAAATTCTCTTCATACCTCCAAAGAAAATAGAAAAAAATCCTTTGAAAACAGATTCTAGCACATGAGTTCCAAATACTCTATTTTCAACAACTCCCACCAGCACAATGGGTTGATTCTCTTCTAAATGTTATACACCTACAAATATTTCACATGGCTATTTCATTTCACATACATGTTATTTGATTATATTATTGACATAATTTGCTTAATTTTAAAATATTTATAAAATTTATTTAATTAAAAATTATCTTTTTTATATTAAGCAGTATTTCCCCACATGATTTCACATCCTGACACAGCACATGGGGAGTCTTCTAGCAATGATTCCTATTTTCTACCCAGTTTTTCAGAAAGCTATTGAGTGTCATATGAAATATCAACTTGTATAGCATATAAAGTAACTTTGCTGAATCTGTCTCTCACTTTTACTAAAGAAATGGATTTCAAATAGTTTATTTGGTATTTTTGGAAGACAGAACTATATCAGTGTTCTTACAGTAAGCCTTCACCATATCTGGATATTATTCGCTGTATAAAATTTGAAGACATTTTCACTACACAAAATTATCATGTCTGATTTGTAAAAAGAAGTAATGGAGTCTGCAAGAAGAACAATAAATTATTAAGTTCAGATACATCCCATTCTGGGAACAATATACCTGTAAGCTTTCTAAGTGATAAGAGTATTGCTGTTGTTGAATATGACAGTTCACAAAACACCTTACAAATGATATACATTGTGTACAGATTGGGTCTTCTGTTTTGCAATTTTCCTGCCACAAAAGATTTATGGTGCTTTTTTTTTTTTTTTTTGTCCTATTAGGATGCTTCAATTGCCCACAGATTCCATATCATGAGAGAAAAACATCCAGAGAAGTTCAACAGTAGGTAAGAATACAAAAATATATGCATATAAAAATATTTTTCCATATTATTAAGATCTGCTCTGTGAGGGGTTAAGTTTCGCACATCTTTTAAAATATTGATTCTTATAAAAGAGAGGAAATTGGTTCATTTTGTATTAAGCATATTCCAGACTACTTGTAGTGTAACTTTTTGATATCTGGTATTTCAACTGAAATGAATAGCAATATAAATAAACTCTTCTCACAGGTGAAATGTTTGCCTTTTAAGGCTAGCATGTGTTTGTGAGGATCCCTGAACTGACACTTTGCCATTAGGCACTGAAGAACGCTTCATAGACAGCTGCAGATGGTGATCCTTATGTTTCATTCCCCACACTCACACTGGTACACTGACAGGGGGCTCTTCCATATATACTCTTAGTAAGGGCAAGTGAATGCCATTTTACACAGAACTGCTTTTATCATTAAACAACTTGCTTCTATAAAAAAAAATGTCTGGAATGAGACTTTGCATCTGTTTCTTGTGTTGCTCTCTGAATCTTTAGTGCTATTGCAGAGCTTTTCTGGAGATTAAAAATGCATTACGTTTACTGTAAATTCAATATCTGGTTTGTTGAGTAGATAACATTCATAATGCAATGTTTATGTTTGTTTCTTCTTATTTAGGTAATTTAGCAAGTAAGTTGTGGTGGGTAAAAGCAACATTTCAGAAACTTTAATTAACATTTAAAGACACATGGAGAGAGAAAAGTAAGATACAAAATTATTTGGAATAAACAGAGAATGTCTAGAAATAATTATTAACACAAATGTTTTGTCACTGTGAACCTAAGCATAGAGTTTATTTTTCCGTCAGGGTGACCTGGAAAGTCTCCTGTAGATGCAAATCTTCATATACCATAGGATGATAAAATATGCTGTTTGTTTTCTCATCTAAGAGCTGTACAGAATGATGTTTAAATATGTTTGAAAATTATCTTGCTTACTGTTTTGTTTGGTGTTTTTTTGTTAAAAGTATATATTTTATAGCTAATAGTCAGAATGAGAGCCTCGTTTTCTCAAATACTCAATTTGCTTAGCATCTGTACAATGACATACAGTGAATCCAAATGCCTGTTTCTTTTTAAGTCACATAGTACATATTTGTACATATTTGTTTTCTGTGCCCTCTTTTTCCTAGCTCTGGTGCTTCTCATTCTGAAAGAATTACACTGTGATAAGACCTGAACTCAAGCCTGTTCTATGCATCCCACTGTACTGTACCCTTCCAGAGGACTAGAGATATTGGACTTGTAGCGAACGATGATATTCTAGGCCTTGAATATGAAGCTAGTTTATCAGTGGTCTTTCTGCATATTTTCAGCAGTTGGCAATTATAATTTATAAAAAGCTCGGCTAATAACATGAGTTTCAGATCAGATTTCATGTCACAATAAATCATATGCCATTAATAACATCTGCTAGCAGACTCACCTTGAAATTCATCTATATTTTAAGGAACCTGATATTTCTAACATTATCTTAAGGAAATTAGTTACAAAAATATATAGTCCCAGTCCCTATGCACTGTGGTACTGTGATATTGAAGAGCTTGAAAAAAGCGAACATTCTCTAGATATATAAAAATTATTCAGAGAAGTTATGCCTTTCTAAAAAACAGTATAAAGACTTGAGCAAAGCATAATAGAAACTGATATTTTAAAATGTGTTTTCTTTTGTATAGTGAGGAAAAAAAAGGGGCTTTCTATGTTTGTTCAGTAGAGTTTTCCAGATGATGTTCGTTCACAAATACTTTTTTCATTGCCACTTATTTGTGTGTCAAAATAAGTCGATAACATGTTGCAGCAGCATTTTCTTGGAGGGTATGAAAAGAAACCCCTTTTTTGGTTATCTGCTAAGCCTCAAATCTTAATGTAGAATTTTCTATGCAATCTAAATTATTTAGGCTCAGCAAGTCCAACTCAAGTCTGATTCATAGTGGGCTCCATAGTTAACAGCACCTGCTCCTTTGAAAACCCTACATTACTCATTTGAAAATCCTATACTGTCATATGGGCATATCTCTTGTGATTTTAAAAAAATTATTCTTTTTTGCTTTTATGTTAGTTTCCTCTTGGCTAATTTTCCAACATTTTAACTTTCACAGCTATCGTTAGAGCAGGTCCTTCCATTGAGGTTCTACTCTGAAAAATGAATGTGCAAAAATTTTCCTTACTGAAGGGAAACTTTACGTTCCTATTGTATGCAGAGTTCTTTTGAAATACACAGATGTTGTATTTGCTTCAGTGAAGTAAGTTAGGTAAAGTTTGGAATTAGCGAATCTTTCACATTAAATCCTGTTAATGATCCTCAAATTCCTCAGGATATTCCTTGCCACTCCGATCCCAAGGTTTATGTGTAAATAGGGCAAATAATAGGAAAACTCCTGACATATATTCTGTGTGTAGAAGCAAAATCTTCTTGTACTTGTTTATCTTCTCAAAATGATGACAAAATATTTCAAGACTTAGAAAGGCTTTTTTTAATGACTACTAGCCAGTGTTGTGGCATTCTTTGGAACTAGGTCACTAGACCTTGGAAACTGTGTCATAATTTAAAATTCCACAGCGTTCACAGATTTTGGACACCAGCACTTAGTATTACTGACTTACTAAAAATAAAAAGTAATAAATTTAGTTTTATATTTCTAAATTGTCTGAAGATAGTTAGACATAAGTCTTTGGAAAATCTGAGTTTAAGTATGTATAAATATTCTTGCATTAAAAATCCACATTAGCAATTGTTTCCTTTGTAATGAAGCACCCAGTTATTTGAGTTTCTTAAGAAATTTAAATCAAATTCCTTTGTAAAAAGGGTCTTCTGTTTTCAGAAGCTTAATTTTCAATGGAAAATTATTTTATACATGCCTTAATATCTTGAAAATGTTATACTTGTAAGCTGTGATATGGAATGGCTGCATATGGTTTTCCAAATAAGGCTCAGCATAAATGTCTACCAGTGATTTTAAAACACACATTACTTGTTCCTAAACCCAGGTCTAGAAGAGAAGAATTCTGGTGGTGGTCAAATAGTAAAGAATGGAAATGAGAACACAGTAGTAGCATCCTAAGCCTGTCAAAATAGTGAATCTTAATATGCCATTTTAATTATGTCTTTTCATCATTGGCACACTATATCAGAAACCAGGACTGACATTGCATTAAGATTTATAAACCTTATAAAGGTGTTTATAAGGTTAATAAACCCCAAAATCTCAGCTGTCACATTACCCACTCTACAGGTCTGAAGTGCTCACAACCTTGTGCTGGAGAAATCAGTTTCCTTCCCAGCATCTTCTGCTTAAGAGTAGGGTCAGATTTTCCAATGTAAGTGTGGAAGGGCTGAGTTAGTGCCAGTGGGGATAAAACTTGCAAAAGGCAGTATTTCAAGTAGAAGTATCATTAAACTAGGACATTCTGTTGAAATAATGATTCAGTTTGGCCAAAATGCCCTACAGGGAGAACTGTGTAAACATCACAGGCTTGATGCTGGGAATAACAGATGTATGAGTTATGTGACTGGAATATACACAAGGAAACAAAGAATACTTTCAACAAAAAAATAATTCAAGTTGGTGTTAGCTTTTCTAAAATCATAGTCAGTTCAATTAGGCATACTAATTTGACACTTTGGCATCCCATAGCATAAAAGATATTTCTTAGTCTCAGTAAACTAAAGTAGGATTTATAAATTATATTTACAGTCTTAAGTACGTTGTCTTTGAAGTTTCCAAATATCATTCTATTTCCATCTTTTATGAAGAAAACCTAGAGCAGAAAAAGTTCCTAATAACTTCATTTATATCATATTCCTGACAACATACTTTTGAGATTCCCTTTCAACTTGTTTAATTATGCTTTTCTTTTGTGCTGATACCTATACATTTAATCTCTAATAAAGTTTCTAAATAATAGAAAGTACAGATTTACCTTGTGCAAGTATTCTCCAGGAGAATAAGGAAAGGCCACAGTAATAAAGGTAGGAGAAATGGCAGATAATTGAATTTTTAGCATTATTCTGAGTGTCCTGACTTGGGTACTGCACTATACAATGTAGTTATAGCATCATATCCTTACTTACATCAAAAAAAAAAGGAAAAAAAAAAAATCCTGTCGTGCCTACACTGTTGCTGTATTCAAAGGTTTATTGTAAGGGATGTCTAGTTGTTCCTGGCAGCAAAAAATCCAGAACAGAATCATTCCACTTGAATACTGGAATTGAAGGCAAGTTCAAGTTTTGTGACTGAAAGTGAAAAAAAAAATCAGTTTAAAGAAAGAGCAAAATCAGTTATGATGGGGTAAATTAAATGGTTTACTCTGTTGTACTCAGCTTTGTTTTAAGTTGACTTATTTTAGCTTAGAATTGAGCAAAGTGTTTCATTTTGGATGGAACAAAACTGTTTTGGTATTTTTATTATTCTTCCAGTTTTTCAGTTTGGGTGATGGAGTCTCTTGGATTGAATAACAACTGCATCTTTTCAGTGAATATACTAAGCATCAGCACAAAATTCCTAACTTTAATTGCAGACACTTCAGCCTCTCCTTCAACCACTCCTCCCTTCCTGGTTGTGACCAATATGGAAATATTTAAAAAGAAGTCACTGGCCCCATGGAGAGACCAGATTGCAGACATCTGTTACCTGTCCCACTGAACCCATGGTTCCTTTTCAAAAAGTGATAAGGCTCCAGGGAACAGTACTTCTGAACTCAGGCAGCATTACTACAACTGTAGTCATCAGAAGAAGCAAAGCAAGGTGAAAATATTTGCAATAGAGCACAAAATATTTTCCCACAGGTGAGAGATGGCTCATAGTTAGACAACATACTTTGCCTAGCTCTTGGTTATAATGCTTCTAAGAGAGAAAGAAATAAAAAAAAACAACTAGCATATTCTTTTCTCAGACTTCAAACATGTAGTAGCCCACCTTTAGAAATAATACCCGAAACACGTAATGTGTGCTTGAGCTGGGAGAAAGGAACATGG